CTTAAAAAAAAAAGTTCAGATATAACCACTGGAACAGAATACAGAAATAGAAATATATATATATATATATATATATATATATATATATATATATTCAACTGATTTTCAACAATAAAGCCAAGGTATTTCAATGAGGAAAGGATATTCTTTTTTCAGCAAAGGTTGCTGAAACAGCTAGATATCTATATGGGGGAAAAAAATCTTAACCCTTATATACCATACAGTATTGATACAAGAATCAACTCTGAATGGACCTCAGACCTAAACATAATAGTGAAAACTCTGACGGAGCCACTTTTTGGAGAACAGTTTGCCATTTCCTCAGAAGGTTAAAACAAGAGTTACCATATGACCCAGTAATTTCCCTTCTATGTAATATACAAGAGAAATGAAAACATGTATCCACATAAAAAATTGTATACACATACTCCAAACAGCATTATTCATAACAGTCAAAAAGTAGAAATAACTGTTCATCAACTGGAGATAAATTAAATGTGGTATGTCCAGACAATGGAATGTTACTTGGCTGATACATCCTACAACATGGATAAACTCTGAGAACACAAATGATTTCATTACATGGAGTGTCCAGAATAAGCAGATCTATAGAGACAGAAAGATTTATAGGGAGCAGATGGGAGGTTTGGAGGATTGTGGCTAAGAAGTATAGTGTTTCTTTTTGAGGTGATGAAAATGTTCTAAAATTGACTATGGTAAATGGCTGCACTACTCTAACAAAGGGAGAACCACTGAATTATATACACTCAAGGTATACAATTGTTAGTATGTATCACACCTCAGTAAAGCTATTACAAAAACAAAAATAAAACTATAAAACTGGGATGTCTGGTTGGCTCAGTGGCTGAGCATCTGCCTTTGGCTCAGGGCGTGATCCCTAAATCCTGGGATTGAGTCCCACATTGGGCTCCCCTAGGGGAGCTGGCTTTTCCCTCTGCCTGTGTCTCTGCCTCTTTCTCTGTGTCTCTCATGAATAAATAAATGAAATCTTAAAAAAAAAAAAAAAAAAAAAAAAAAAAAAACCTATAAAACTTTTACAAGATAGTGTCCCTGGGTTAGACAGATGTCTTGGAACATGAATTATCCATAAATGAACAAAACAGACAAACTGGACTTCATCAAAATTTAAAATTTCTGTTCTTTGAAAGATACTGTTAAACAGAAAATAAAAAGGGGATGACTGAGTGGTTCAGTGGTTGAGCGTCTGCCTTCAGCTGAGGGCATGATCCTGGAGTCCTGGGATTGAATCCCACATCAGGCTGCCTGCATGGAGCCTGCTTCTCCCTTTGCCTGTGTCTCTGCCTCTCTCTGTGTGTCTCATGAGTAAATAAAGAATATCTCTCTGATAAAGGACTCCAGGGACGCCTGGGTGGCTCAGTGGTTGAGCGTCTGCCTTTAGCTCAGGGTGTGATCCCAGGATCCCAGGATCGAGTCCCACATCAGGCTTCCTGCATGGAGACTGCTTCTCCCTCTGCCTGGGTCTCTGCCTCTTTCTCTGTGTCTCTGAGTAAATAAATAAAATCTTAAAGAAAAAAAAAAAAAGACTCCAAATATATAAAGAACTCTTAACAACAAAATAAGAAGATAAACAATTTAAATTTTAAACTGGGAGGGGCACCTGTGTGGCTCAGATGGTTAAGAGATGAATCCTCTGACTTCAGCTCAGTTCGTTTTCAGGGTCCTGGGATCAAGCCCTGCCTTCAGTTCCACACTCAGTGGGGAGTCCACTTCTCCCTTTTCCCCTGCCCTTCCCCCCACTCATTCTTTCACTCTCGCTGTCTCTCAAATAAATAAAATCTTTTTTTTTTTTTTTTTTTTTTAATGGGGTAAAGGGATGCCTGGGTGACTTAGTGGTTGAGTATCTGCCTTCAGCTCAGGGCGTGATCCCAGAGTTGCAGGATCAGGTCTCACATCGGGCTCCCTGCATGGGGCCTGCTTCTCCCTCTGCCTGTGCCTCTCTGCCTTTCTTTGTCTCTCATGAATAAATAGATAGGAGCTTTAAAAATAAATTAAAATTAATTAAAACGGGAAAAAAAAGTTGAACTCTTCAACCAATGGAAATATAAGGATGGCTACTAAGTACATGAAAATAAACTCTGGGGTGCCTCGGTGGCTCATTCTATTAAGCATCTGCCTTCCGGTCAGGTCATGATCCTGGGGTCATGGGATCAAGCCCCAAGTCAGGCTCCCTCCTCAGTACAAAGTCTGCTTATCTCCCTCTTCCTCTTTCCACCACTTGTGCTCTTTCCCTCTCTCTCTCTCTCAAATAAATAAATAAATAAAATCTTAAAAAAAAAAAAAGAAAAGAAAAACTCATCATCATGAGTCATTAGGCAAATGCAAATTAAAACTAGAAAGAGGGGGATGCCTTGGTGGCTCAGTGGTTGGGCATCTGCCTTTGGCTCAGGTCACGATTCCAGGGTCCTGGGATCGAGTTCTGAGTTCCGCATTGGGCTCCCTGTGGGGAGCCTGCTTGTCCCTCTGCCTGTGCCTCTGCCTCTCTCTCTCTGTGACTCTCATGAATAAATAAAATCTTAAAAAAAAAAAAAAACAACAAACAAACTAGAAAGAGATACCACTAGAATGCCTAGAATCTAAAAAACGGATATTACCAAGTGTTGAAGAGGTTATGGAACAACTGGAACTCCAACTGGAACTCCACTGCAGATGAGAATGTTAAGATGGTAAAGTCTCTTTGGAAAAGTTTGACAATTTGTTATTTATAAGGTTAAAGTTTCATTTGCCATAGGATCCTGCAATTCCACTTCTAGCTATGCAAGAGAAATGAAAACATACATCTATGTAAAGCCCCATATATTAATGTTATTTCATGTCACCTTCAGTCATAATAAAACTGGAAACAACCAAAACATGCATCAACAAGTCACTGGATAAACAAATTGCAGTAAAGTTTATCCAATTAAAAATTAACTGCAATTAAAGGAACAAACTACTGATATATGCAACACGTATCAATCTTAAAAAGACTACACTAAATGAACAAAGCCAGACACCAAAAACCACTTTTGTGATTCTGTTGATCTAACATTCTAGAAAAGGCAAAATATACTAACAGGAACCTGATAGTGGTCAATAGGGGTAGTATTATGGGGAGAGGACTGACTGCAAAAGGTCAAGAGGGAACTTCCTGCGGTGGTGAAAATATTCTGTATCTGGATTGTGGTGACAGTGATTAAAAACTATGTACAGGGACACCTGGGTGGCTCAGCAGTTGAGTGTCTGCCTTCAGCCCAGGGCATGATCCTGGGGACCTGGGATCGAGTCCCACACTGGGCTCCCTGCGTGGGGCCTGCTTCTCCCTCTGCCTCTGCCTGAGTCTCTGCCTCTCTCTGTATGTCTCTCGTGAATAAATAAATAAAATCTTTAAAAAAAGAAAATAAAATAAAGCTATGTACATTTATCCAAATTCATGAAACTGGACATTTAATGTAGGTGAAGGTTTTTGGTTTTTTTTTTTTAAAGATTTTATTTATTCATGATAGTCACACAGAGAGAGACAGAGAGGCAGAGACACAGGCAGATGGAGAAGCAGGCTCCATGCAGGGAGCCCAACGTGGGATTCGATCCCGGGTCCCCAGAATCGCTCCCCGGGCCAAAGGCAAGCGCCAAACCGCTGCGCCACCCAGGGATCCCCTATGTAGGTGAATGTTAATGCAGATACATTATGCTCAATAATGTTGATTTTCTTAAAAGGGATAATTCATTCCTTTTCTCAAGTCTACATACATTCCCAAGGTCTCAGCATCTAATCTGTTCTACTTTTAGGAGCTGACCTTGGTTTCTATGTTTTACATGCCTTATGGTTCAAAGTATAGCACCTCCAAAACACAAAACTCTAAACTTTGGGTATATGGCTTTGGTAATCCATAGACTAAGCTGGAGAACACTGTGCTACATGCTATCATCACCAGCTAAATTACAAATGCAGTCGAACATTTTTACATCCTTCTGAACTTTTCTGGCTTCTCTGCTCGCTTTTCTCATCTCCCCACTAAGAATTTACCATAAATGTCCTGTGGCTCATTCCTATATGAGAAACAAATCTCAGTTTCCAAGACTGCAACTTCAATCAGTAGTTCAGCTTGAAACACATGTAGTCTGTCTGCCAATATCCAACAGAACTCACTGCACTGTCTACAAAGAATAATGAATTTCTCATTATATCAACATTCCTCAAATAATCAAAGGCAAATAAAGCATACTTCAGTCAAGAGAAAAACTTTAAAAAGAGAGAGAGAAAGGGAAAAAGTAAGTAGATTAGGTTACCAGCAGCTATTAGGTTTTGAGGAACAAGCAAAGGCACTCAAAAAAGGGGCTGGCACATATCACCCAGAACTCAGGGTGGACTTTCCTGCATATCTACAATAGCAACAGGTTGGAAATATATAGAATAGTTCATGTGAACTGTATTCAGAGTATAATGAGGAGCTTGGAGAAAACTCAAATTAATCATTCACACCGGTATCTTGAAAGAAAATGAAAAAGAACAAGATGTGGTGGAGAGGAGTGTAGGGCACCTGTAGGTTCTGATGTGGACAAACTCCATATTACCCAAATGTTTTGGGAGACACCATCTTTTAAAACTAGCTCTATAGCTCTAGAGAGTCAACAGTAAGCGAGAGACTGCTATTAGCAAATAGATATGGTGACCAAATAAAAACAAACAAAACCAACTTGCACGTTTACAAAAGACCAGAATGCAAACATAAAACTGTCTGGAAAGAAAACGAATTTATATTTAAGCAGAAATAGAAATCGTTTCCATTAGTGTATTTACCCCTTGCAAAAAATCATGGTCAGTGTCTTTTATTTATGTGTGAACCCACCTTCCTGGTAGATGAGCTGACCTAGGTTGTGGTGATTACTTTTAGCACTCTAATATATATTATAAATGACAAGACTGGGTGTGGGGGAATAAAAGCTCAATGTTTTGAGGATTGAGTTGGGCTGACACTCACCACAAACTTCTCACCATTCTGCTCCACATGTTTGTATGTGGGGACCGATATGGGCACTGCTTGCTTTTCTGTGTAATCATAAAATGATTGTCCCAACGAGTCGTCACTGGGATCTAGGTTATCTGCCTCATGTGGAGGTACAGATAACACTGTCAAGATCAATTCCTTCTCGCCTGCTCGGATCAGGTCCACCACCTGCTTGTGTGTCGCCCCCTCAACATTCACGCCGTTCCTAAGGGGAAAAAGGGAAAAAAACAATCCCATAAACCAGAAGGGTCCAAACACCTTATATCTCCACCCTCCTGCCCCCACTCTAGTGTCACACAATATGAACTATAAAATCAAGATTAATTTGGTTCCAGAAAAGCTGTTTATATTTTTATAGATCATAATGTAAAAAAGTGTCTGTGAATTTATGGCAGGGAGAAGAAATGGAAACAGGTGAGAGGACCTGCCCTTCCTCTATGCTAGAATCCCACACATAGCTTCAGGAAAGCACATGGTGAAGCTGCAGAGGAAACAAAGCTTTCAAACCTAATTTCCTCATCCTAACCAAGCATGTATACAATACAAAGTGGCTTTTAACAATGCTGCTATTTGAACTGTACTTAAGTTCTTTTTAAACCTCCTGAAATTTCTGTTAGAAGAAATTTTTTACAAAATGCATTCCTATAATCTGTAAAGACTCAAAAAGTATGACTTAAGATCATTCTTATATTTAGATCTGATTTCACCCTATCTCCAAATCAGTCAACTTAATTTACCTTCATACCAAGTCTCATCACCTTGGGAGTTAAATGTTATCTATCTTCATACAATTTCTTCTATCACTTGGTTTTTAAAAAGGCAATTTTGAAATGTCATTATCTGAATCCACTTCCTTTGTCCTCTCAATCACATCTGTCAGCATTTTACCTACTCTTCTTTCTGCTCTGTGCTATCTCACTTAAAGCCCTGTGTCATCAGTTTAAACAAACAAAAAAAAAAATCTACATCTTAAATTATATAGTAAATCAACCTACTCATTGTCTTCCCTGTTTCACTGGATAAAAGGCGGCAACTAGGAAAAGCACAAGGTTTAAGAAAGGTAATTCTGTCAAGAAAGATGCTGAGTCTCACAAAACTCACTTAGCAAACTGAACTACTTTCCTATAATGCTGCCCCTTCCTGCTGTCTCAGCAAAAACCATTAGGCAGCTAGCTGGCCTGCAGGTTCCCTCCATGGCTATCCCATGAGAGTTAGGAAACACACACCTGGCCTTTAGTCAATTTGATAAAAGCTTATCTACCCTTTAGAGTTAAGCTCTTTTCAGTTCCAAACCATTAGGATTTTTCCTTCCTGAAAATGATGCTAAGTTTAGTAACAAGTTTTCCACAGACTTTTCAGTCGCTAGAATTGTCTCTATCAGACTCTGGTATCTGAAACATCCATTTATATGGAGATCACTCAGCTAAGCCTCCTTCTACTTGGGTTTAACAATCTAATCAATAAATTCAGCACTCTAGACATTTCACAACCTAAAGTCTAACACAAAAATATTCAGTAATTTTACAATTGGCTAGCTATAAAAGAAAATAAAAGCACCCCTTCCACTGATGGAAATTTGAATATTTAAAATTTGTATCAGGTCAAACTAGAAATCAGAAAAAAATGGTCAACTCTGATCACAGAGCCAGATGATAAGAGAGAAAATGGGCTTTGAAGCTATGGGTTCAAATCCTGGCCTTGCCTTTAGAACAGGCACTGGTCTTGACTAAGTCATTTAAAATTTCTTATAGGGCAGCCCCAGTGGCACAGCGGTTTGGCGCTGCATGCAGCCTGGGGTGTGATCCTCGAGACCCGGGATCAAGTCCCACATCGGGCTCCCTGCATATGGAGCCTGCTTCTCCCTCTGCCTGTGTCTCTGCCTCTCTCTATGAATAAATAAATAAAATCTTAAAAAATAAAATAAAATTTCTTTTTTTTTTAATTTTTTTACTTATTTTTTTAATTTTTTATTTATTTATGATAGTCACAGAGAGAGAGAGAGGCAGAGACACAGGCAGAGGGAGAAGCAGGCTCCATACACCGGGAGCCCGATGTGGGATTCGATCCCGGGTCTCCAGGATCGCGCCCTGGGCCAAAGGCAGGCGCCAAACCGCTGCGCCACCCAGGGATCCCTAAAATAAAATTTCTTATAATTGTTTTCTGCATTTGTAATATGGGGACAATAATAAGCCCCTACAAGGACTGCTGTGAGGATTAATGTAATGAAACATGTTAACTCGCTGGGAACAATACCTGAACATTTACATCAGAAGGTATAATAAGGAAGTACTGTGAAGCTGTTGAAGAAATGCTAGCTGAAGAAGAAATGGAAACCTGAAGTTGGGGATTGCCAAAGGATTTCATCTAAATCTTTAGCCTTATTAGTTCTGAGAAAATATTTTGCTGGTAGAAGTAATAAATTGAAAAAGCAAAAATTAGAAATCAACACAGAGAACTTCATCCAACCCTAAAAATCTTAGCTTACATGAGTATCTTCAATATTTTTTCAACAAAGCAGGGAAAACTCGCTTTAGAAACTGAACATCAGGGGATCCTTGGGTGGCTCAGTGGTTTAGCACCTGCCTTCTGCCAAGGGCATGGTCCTGGAGTCCCAGGATCAAGTCCCCCATCAGGCTCCCTACATGGAGCCTGCTTCTCTCTCTGCCTGTGTCTCTGCCTCTCTCTGTGTGTCTTCAATGAATAAATGAATAAAATCTTAAAAAAAAAAAAAAGAAACTGAACATCTTGGATACTAAAACAAGATTTTTATGTTAGTATAATTAATTTTATGAGATGCACATTTATGAAAAAAAAGTTTATGCTCAAATCTTCTTTTCTAGTTCCCCAATTTTTCCCTTTAAAGGATCTTTAATCTGAGTACTATGTCAATAGGTCAGGGGTTGGTGAACACCTATAGCATTTGTATGTAAAACTGTATTTGTGCATATACATATTTTTTCCCCTGAGGATGGGGTCCACAGCTTCCACTGACTTCAAAAGAGAGCATATAACCTCCAGAAAGGTGAAGAACTACTGCTTTCAACGCACATTTCCTTCACCCATTCAGTTAAGTTAGAAAAATACACTGTTCTTAGAGTCACTCACAAAAACAAGCCGTGAAAGTCATCAGAGAAACTTAAGTGAGTCTTATTCCAAGAGCCAGGGAGCAAGGGAGCTTGCTTAGTCTCACTTGTTTATCAATAAGAACAAGCTTCAAATTGGCTATCACCCCAAGAACCTCTTTATAAACGGGAAAAGAGAGAAAGAGAGAGAGAGAAAGGTAACTACTAGTGTCACATTCTAAGCACATTTGCTAATGTTTATATGGTTCAACTACAGAAGGAATGCTATACATTCCACAATTTCACAGAAGGCTAGAAATGCCTTCATTCTTCAGAGAATGAAATGAGGTCAGTAAAAACCCCAGGACGTCTAATTTCAAAAAAGGTCCTCCCTCCTCAAGAATTAAGAGGCCTTCACAATCATAAAAATGTTTCTGTGATATCTTTTCCACAAGAATGCCACTATACCAAGCTCAAATTAAGTGTGGTCCAATTTGGACAATTCTAAAGACATAAATGTAAACTATAAGTTCTGCAATAAAGGGAACTTTCAGCAGTAGACTTCTGGTTCAAAGCACAGGTTTTAGACAGGCTTGGGTTTGAGTATCATTTGTGCCATTTAACAGATAATATTCAATCTCACGAACATAGTTTCCCAATCCATAAAATGGTGCTAATAATACCTATGACTAACAGAATGAGAACTAAAATGTGATAAAGCTCTAGAAGAAGGTAACCACTCAATAAATGATAGCTACTCATATTATCAGTTGAGCAAGCAGGTTAGTAGTATGTTGGCCTCATGATGACACAAATCCTTTCTACCACCAACCTCCTTTGCCTTTCTTCTGTTTTTGTAATATTATCTAGCTGGAATTCATTTGAAAATAAATGATTGAGGGACGCCTGGGTGGCTCAGCAGTTGAGCGTCTGCCTTTGTCTCAGGGCGTGATCCTGGAGTTCTGGAATCAAGTCCCACATCGGGCTTCCTGCATGGAGCCTTCTTCTCCCTCTGCCTTTGTCTCTACCAATGTCTCTGCCTCTCATGAATAAATAAATAAAATGTTGTTGTTGTTGTTGTTGTTTTTAAAAAAAGGAAATGATTGAGCTCTCAACTTATGCTGATCTATTACAAGAAGGGAATCACCTTCATAAGACCACTGCATCAGAGAATCAGCTAACCATACACCACACAAAAAGTAACTACTGCCCAATGGGTCCTACTCATTTATGTTCTTCCATAAAGAAAGGGCATGGTTTAAACACACTATCAAAACATTTTCAGCAAATATGTGATTAAACAAAAACAGCAAAATGTTAATTATAAAATCTAGGTGGTAGTTACGCAAGTATTCACTGTGCATTTCCTTCAACTTTTTTATGTTTGAAATTTTTCATAATAAAATGTGAGGGAAAAAAAGAAGGCTAGTAAAAAGAAACTCCCAACAATCCACAAATAAGACTCCCCCCAATTTTTTTTAAGATTTGCTTATTTATTCATGAGAAACACAAAGAGAGAGGCAGAGACACACAGACAGAGGGAGAAGCAGGCTCTGGGCAGGGAGCCCGATGTGAGACTCAAACTCGGGACTGCGGGATCACCACCTGAGCCAAAGGCAGATGCTCGACTGCTGAGCCACCCAGGTGTTGCAAAACCAAAAATCTTGTTTATGTAAGTAGATGATACGCAAAATTTTCTTTGTGTCTTCAGCATTATAAAAATATACCTAATAATTTTAATAAAATTTTCATTTTTTATGTAAGACCAAAATCTGGCCCAATCAGAGGCCTTTAGCTAGCTAATGGGAGTGGCTTTAGATTAAGACTTTTACTCAACTAAAAGTTAGCCAGCTGGGGAAATTGTAAAGCTAATATAAACACCCTAAAAAGCAGGGGGGAAAAGTTCTAAATAGTCAGGATTTGTATACTGTGAAGGAAGCTGTATACACTAAAACTATGGATGGAAATATGACAGAGCTAATCACTTAATGTACCACAGCAAGGAGCCATTCTGGATGGTAAACAGAATAGTATCTTGACCCCCTGTGACATTCAAGAAAGTAAATTTTTTTAAAAGATTTATTTATTCATGAGAGACACAGAGGCAGAGACAATGCGGGGACTTGATCCCTGGACCGGGATC